CGCTTCCAATTCCCCTCTGTACCGCTGTGCATCATCTGGTCTAACCAGGTCTGCAAGGCGAAACTGGGGTCCTGGTAGTTGGGGGGAGGAAGCGTTCAAGAACTAGAGGAAGATTGTGAGCTTCATTGTTGCTATACTGTACCCTAAGTGACTCATCTTTTATACTCTTATCTCAATCTTACAATTGAATTAAAATTGTTTTCTACTCCATAAATACTCTTCATATAAAACTCTATTTCCCACCAGAATCTGCTAAAAGGTGAAGCTCTTGTAAGGAGGGTCATGATTAGCTGATTGATTTGTACATTCCATACACAGGTATGCCATCCTTAAGAACTGCAGAAGAGCTGAGTCCCACAGAACAAAACCCAAATAGTCAAAGTTTTCTATTATCTGGTCCTATTTGCCTTACACAAATACACTGCTGTAGCCCAAATGATCTAAACTAAATATCCCCTCTATGCTTTCCTCAACGAGCTCTGGTGGCCCCAGGGTTAACTGTTAGCTTAACTGCAAGACGGGCAGCTCAAATTCACCAGCTGGCCTGCAGAACAGAGGAGCCTGGCTGCTCTTGGAAAGATTTAGAGTTCTACTCGATCCTCCAGGGTTACTAGAAGGCAGAATCCACCTCGATGGTAGAGGATTCTGTATTTGCTAACGCCATTCCACTCACCTAGAATGCTTCCCCACACGTTGATACCTGTATTGATTCAAATGTAAACACTAGCTCCTTCCTTGCCCAACTGTAGTCTATGCAACTCAAATTTCACTTAGCAATTGAAAAAAAAAGTGAGAAAGTACTCTGGCAAATCGTAAAATTAAAACTTTGAAAAATTATAAGAGGAAATCTAAGAGCATCAAAGTTAAGCTACTTGCTGGAAAGTTTCTAAACCAAGAGTTTATTCAGAAGCAGTATGTTAAAATGTATAAAGTATACTCATTTCATATTTCAGTATCACTATTTTATTAATTTACAAACACATTATCATCCTAGAATCAACTTATTTTCCTAATCTTTCATTCTTAATAGCATAATTCATAAATCAATTTACTCTTATTACTCAAAAATGTATTCAATTGTCAGTATTTATGAAGTACTTACTATCAGCTTTCTTTATAAAATTTACTCAAAACTTGTATTCTTACATTGAATTTTGTTTTAGAATGACCAAACTTCCTTGTTTTTTTCCACATTACTAGCATCCACAGAATTGCATGGCTATGTGTACTACATAGTGGTTGTGAAAACTGAAAAGAAGATGACCAAACTGCAGATCCTTTAATCAAAGTCCAAAGTATCTTCATGGCAAACCAATTAGGAAAAAATTACTCAATTGCAGTGAAATGTGTAGTTCAAGGTCATGAAAGTAGGATTAACAATCTCTCATAATAAATCTTCATAAAATGTTTCAAACAGTTTTTAAAAACATAAAATACAAATAAGACCAAGTATTTCATTTTAAAAATGAAGTTGTTCAAAATGTATAAGCTTGTCCTGACGAACATGTAACACAACAAAATATTTGCAACTATTTGAACTACAATCTTAAATAAAAGTTATAATGCTTTATCTTCAAATAAGCCATCCAGCATCAATTTCCATACCCAGTACATGAAATAATAATAGTATATAATGACAGTAACAATTCCCAGCACCAAGCCAAATCAACTTCCCGGAGTTTCTGAATTTATCAAGTCAGATGCCACATTTCAATGCTATCTGTTCTAAACAAATGTACATTCTTTTAAAAACTGGATCTTGGGTACCACTCTTCAAGTTCCTCTTAGACTGAGTAAAGAATCTATACAAATGCTTCCCTGTGAAAAATACTGTAATTCTCAGTCACAGTTCCCCTTGAATCAATTCCAAACAGTGAAAGTGCTCCCTGGGCTTTTCAATGGGTAGATTTTCTGAAGTAGATTACCAGGCCTTTCTTTCAAGGCATTTCTGGGGCGAAAAGCAAATTTCCAACCTTTCATTTAGGAACCAAGTACCTTAAACACTTCCTCCAACCTGAAACTGGATGGCTATGTTAATAATTCTGAGCATAATCTATTGCCAAGTCAATTCCAACTCAGAGTGGCCCTGGAGGTCAGAGGAGAAATGCCTCATAGATCTTCCAAGACAGCACAAACTTGGACATCTTCCTCCTGTACAGCACCACTTACCTTTAAGTTAGTCGCGAAGAGCTTAACCACTGAGCCCCCAAGACCCCTTCATTCTCAGGACAGGAGTACTAAACTGCTTTCCTCACAGTTTGCTCCTATCTCTGAAATTATAACCCTCCCCCTGGGAGTATGAAAAAGCCCTGGTGGCACAGTGAGTTAAACACTGGGCTGCTAATCACAGGATCAGTAGTTCAAATGAGGATTTCCACTCCTGGATAGATTTACAGTCTCATAAACTCACAGCAGAAGCTCTACCCTGTCTATAGGGTCTCTGGAAATCAACTTGGTAATAATGAGCTCATTTTTAATTTGTCTAGGACTATGAGATAAGACTTCATCAACTTCAGATACAAACCCCTAACTAAAAACGACTAAATGGCTATGTTATATTTAGGAGGAGAACTCTCAATTCAAGAATGTTTGTAGTTAAACTAGGACCAAGTAGTGTATCTTTAGCAAAACCAAAAATGGCAATATTTGTGGCAATAGCTTGAGAAATTAATGAGAAGTGAAAGACCAATACTCTCTAAATTAGGAGATCATAAATTTGAATGGGAAAAATTTTTTTTTAAACTTCCTTAATTATTCCTGACAGTCAATGAAAATTTATATTTCTTTATATTATGAATACAGGAAAAGAAATAGTAGTATTAATAGTACTCGAGGCTATACTGTACAGGCATGAAACATATTTTCCTATAGCCATTTCCATAATATACCTAAAAGAAGGGTTGTGTAGATGCTATAGACAGCTCAGAATATTGTTCATGCTGCAGCCAGATCATGTTAACTCATTAATAAATACATATATCATAGCTTGGTTCAATGCTTTTTTGGTATTATTCATTCAATGTTTTCATTTAACTTATTTCTTATGCTATAATTTTATCAATTTAAAGCAACTACTTCAAAACATAAGATCATAATTCATGTAATTGCTAATGGGTACCATAGTAAAAACAACCACCCTCGTTGCAAAAGGAGACCTACCATTATATAATAACTTAGTTTAAGAAACATGGCTTTCAGGTCATTATATAAACAGCATATGTCTGTCTGTTTTCACCAAACTGTAGATAAAAAATTGGAGGGAAAATAAATCCAGTGTACACAATAAACTTATGGAAGTACTTCAATAGAAAAGTTATATATGATAAAATTATAAAGAGATAATAAAATATTTGAAATGCTATTGCCACAAATACATTTTTGTTTGTTTGTTTTTTAAATCATTTTATTGGGGGCTCGTACAACTCTTATCACCACCCATACATACATCCATTCTGTCAAGCACATGTGTACATTTGTTGCCATCATCACTCTCAAAACATTTGCTTTCTACTTGAGCCCTTAATATCAGCTCCTCATTTTGCCCCCTCCCTCCCCACTTCCTCCTCCCTCATGAACCCTTCATAATTCATCAATTACTATTATTTTGTCATATCTTACACTGTCCGACATCTCCCTTCACCCACTTTTCTATTGTCCATCTCCCAGGGAGGAGGTTAAATGTAGATCCTTGTAATCAGTTCCCCCTTTCTACCCTACCTTCCTTCCACCCTCCAGGTATCGCCACTCTCACCACTGGTCCTGAAGGGGTCATCTACCACAAATACTTTTAAAGTCCTTACCTGTTAGAGATACACACTAAAGGCTTTATAAGGGACATTGTCCAAGCTTTGTCTTAAAATACTATCAAAGTAAATAAAGAGATAAATAAATAAAATATGGAAAGCAGATGATACCAGAATGACGAAGGTTAAATATTCCATTCTTTCCAAAGTTTTATATATTTAGTAATTTTCTGTAATAGAATGTTTAAAATTATATTCAAATTAATACACACATAATTGATTTAGTAAGGAGTATTAAATGTATGGGTACATAATCCTAAAGGTTATGGTCCAAATCAAAAGCAATTATATTGTTTCACTTTGTTCCTCTCGGTAATAGTCATGAGGTTTGACCCACTAAATTCATTATTACATTTTTAGTGGCACCACATTGTTAGATCATTCCAAAACTGGATTAAAAAAAATAAAGATACAAAAGTTCAATAGGTGATTACAACTTAGAGGCTATTGTTGGGTAAAAGCTAACCCAAGAAATAACAATACTGCCAAGAATATCATGTGCTTTGTGACAGAACTCTTAAAACTGATGTCAGTATACCTAAGTATTTGCTCATTTAGATGAACCTTGATCTATTACAGCTAAAATGAGCAGGGGTGGTCATGTAACAATTTGGAACACAAGTGACATTACACACACTATTAACTAACTTTCAAAAGGCTCTGTGTATTTCATAAAGGATGGTTTTCTCAACAAGGATTTTTTTTAATTTCACAAGCTTAATTAACAATTGTGCTAGTAATTTTTCTATTATACTCTGTTAACAACAGTAAATATTCTCTTGGAAAAGCAAACATTCAATATAAATAAACCCTATTTGTTTGGCCTTATGTCGTTCATTTCCTAATTGTAAGAAGCTACCATTTACTTATCTGTGTGCCCCTACAAACCCTACTGGGTAGTTTAAAAACCGAGGCCCTCCTGAGTCAATCCTATATAAGAAATCATTAACAACCAAGTATGAAAAAGAAAAAGATTGGGTTTTTAAATGTGTAAATGTTTATTAGCTTTAGTTGCAGCTTAATCACAAATTGCAAAACAAGGATTTGAGAATTCTCAATTATGTTTAAGGCCACAATCTGAGATCAGCACAGACCACCTGTGTTTCATTGGGTTGTGTAGTCACTATGAGTCAGAAGCAACTCTGAAGGCACCTAACAACAACAATGCTTTAAAAGATAGGTTTTAATAAATCATTTGCCAAGTAAATCTTTTTAAGAAAGCTGAGTGTTTTGCAAAGTATTCCATGAGGAAAGAATTAAAATTGTATGAAAAATGAAGAAAGTATCCCATGAGGAAAGAATTAAAATTGTATGAAAAATGAAGATTTGGAATAGACTTGATTGAAGCAAACATTTTGGAAAAAGAACTCTTTTGAAACTGATAGTTTCATATTAACAGTTTGCTTCCAATTTTCAGGGGTTTAATCAGAAAAAATAATTAATGCTTTTTAAAAGGTAGTATTTTAATTTAATTTGTTTTTATTAAATACATTTAAAGCTTTTGAAAACATCGAAAATTCTCAAACACTTGTTTATTATTAATTTACAGCTAAAGTTACATATTTACTTACATAAAAGGATTAATTTAGACCAGAGGATGCACAGCGGTACAGATGGGAATTGGAAATACAGGGAATCTAGGACAGATGAACCCCTCAGGACCAGGGGTGACAGTGGCGA